TATGCCATGGCCAGGGACCCATTCTGTCTGCGGTGGTATGAGCAGGCTCCCTGCCCCAGCCTCCCCTCCCTCAGTGGTGGCCACACTCACAGTACACACCAGGTCACCCGTAGTCTCCTATGTGGACTGACATGCTGCTGTAAAGTGACAGTGTGGATCACACAGGGTTCCAAGCCATGTGCTAAAGTTCTACTCCCCGCCTCACCCTACCTGACCCAACAGTTGCACACAAAGACACAGAAGTTCAAGGAAGGGGATGATGCTTTCACTCAGTGCAGTTGCATCTTCTGACCAAGCCATAAAGCACAGGAACAGGAGTGACCGGGACCCTCCTTTGAACTTGGAATCCTTTCCTAACTTCCACTCCAGCCACAGTGGGAGCGTGAGGCTGGGTGGCAAGAGGGAGTCTGTTAGGCCCCTCATGAGGGGGTCACCAAGCACCCCACACACACACCGTGCCTACCTTATCCCGGATGCTTAGAACAATATTGTGGTTGTGTAGGTCAGTGAACCAGCCCACAGCGCAGGGCCTGGTGCCCGCACACTGCCCCGTGCGGTCACAGGGGAATGTAAACATGCACGGGAGCCCTGGCTTTCTGGCCTCCTCCTTTGTTTATGTAGCACTAAAACTAACTCTGGGGTCATCTCTGTCTGGCATGAAAGCCCTGAAGCTTTTTGAAGTTCCCTGGAGTTAATAAAATTAGTCTGTGTTCTTTGTGAGACCCAGGCTTAACAAAAGATGGACCTCTGCTGTCTCTGCCTTTGGCTTTTTTAAGCCAATGGTTTACAACCCAAAAAAAGAAGGGGCAGGGAAGATGTGCCCAGGGAGCTCTCAGGGTTTCTGTGGGGCATAGGTAATCTGCTGTCAGCGTAGGCTCTGAGGCTGGCAGGCCCTGGCCACCCAGTAGGCACTGCAGGACAGGCCAGAGCATTTGTCATGTGCACTTACAGGGTCTGGTGGTCGGCTCACTTTCAGATGCATCCTGTGCCCCAGATACCTCCCTGGCAGCAAGTTACCAAGTTTTATCCCAAAGAGTCCCTCTTTCTGTCTCTTCATCCCCCTTGAGCTTACTTCATCACCCCTTAGTGAGTACTTAACTCAGCAGGACTCATGGGGCGGCAGAGTTGTATGAAACCAGGCTTGGAGACAGATTTTTCTTCAGTGTCCAGTCCAGTGAGATGGGTGGGCCAGCTGTAGGCAGGGTGGCCACCTCAGGCCAGAAGGGCTCAGGATTGTTTCTGGGGTTCAGGGGGCAGTCTAAAGGAATTGTGTCAGAATGAAGCCTGGGCATGTTGGTGCAGTCCCCAGGGGGAGTAAGGAGAAGGAGCCATGCAAGAAGGCAGGCCGTGGCCTCAGGGTCAGGATCTGGCCTCGGCCTGGATCTGGTCCTGTGCTGGGTATATCAGGTGCCAGCAGCTCTCAGTGTCTGTCCTCAGTCAGCTTCTCATCACTGGGACAAAACACTTGTCATACACAGTGTAGAAGAGGGATTTATCTTGCTCATAGTGTGGGGCTATAGTCCATGGTCAGGAGGTTACAAGGAATAATCACAGGGTGGATAGTTGTGGTGGAAGATGCTAGGGTTGATCTGCCTGTGAGGCTGGTGTCCCCCACCCTCAGCCCCACCCAGACCAGGAAAAGCCTGTGCTGGGCTGCTCACAGGGCCATTTCACAGCCACACTCCAGGTCACGGCAGGCTCCACAAGGCTGATGGGCAGAAAGGAAGACCAGGAGGGTGACTGGCTGGGAACCCTGGCCCAGTCCAGCCAGTGCTATTTAGAAGGCCATTCTCTAAAGTGGGCTCTGGATTTCTGGTGCTCTTGATGCTGGAGCCAGCTCTGAGTTTCAGTCAAATCTGTCTGTAGGACTAAAGAATGGCCTGGGACCCCCTTCTCCACCTCCAAGAGGCTCCTGGGCATACTGGCTGCCACTCTATCCCAAGTGAACCCACCACACTCACTCCTCGCTAGTATTGAGCCTGATGGGTGCAGGCTTCTGGTTTCCGCCATGCTGCTGCTGTCACATGATAGGCCCACTCACACCTCATCCCAGCCTCAGCTCCAGTCTCTCTGCAGCAGGAGCAAAGTCCCTGCAGGTGGGGGGACAGAGAAATTCTATGGAAAGGAGCCCAGTCAGCAAGGGCCAGACTGAGGGACACCTTTCTCCTGCAGCAGATGACCTGTTGGACACAGGTTGGGTAAGCATAGGAGGGAGCCATCCCAGAGCCATCAGGCCTGCTCAACTCAGTGCCCAGACTGGTGGCAGAGGATGAGCTGACAGGAGCCTTGGGCAGAGGGGAGCAAAGCCAGACAGAGTGACAGGGCCTAACCTGTGCCATCTGGGCATATCCTCCTGCGCTGACTCTCTGTGTCCTCCCTGGGGAGGTGGTAGTACTGGGCAGAGGCCCATGCAGACCCAGCTATTGGGGCTGGAGTAGCCCAGGGGCTGAGTCCTGAAGGACGAGGAGGAGACTCTGTGTGGGAATGAGGCCTGTGAATTACAAAGAGCTGTGCAAGTGGAAATTATTATTCTTATCATTATTTGTATCCGATTCATCAATCACCAGGGAGAAGAGGAATGCGAGTACCTTTTATCTGGTGCTATGAATCAAATAGAATAGGATATGTTTTTCCAAAAGGTTCTTAGGGTAAATGGGACAGTTTTTACTTTTCAAAATAATCCATCTGGGCCCATAGCTAAGCCTGAGTAGAAATGAGATGCTTCCAGGGCTGAAAAGAGCCCTGGGGATGCCAGGGGACCCCACCTTGGGAAGGGACAGAGGGAAGCCACCATCTCGTCAGTGTGCTGTCACCACAAGGGCTTGCCTGGGATGCACAGATGCTCCATGCTCTTGGGTGCTGAGTCAGGAGGAAGCTCAAGATCCTTCCTGAATCTGCTCAACCTGGAGGCTTGGATAACAGTGCAGTTGTACCCACTTGCTCCTGGTCAGATAGGCAGAAGCTGACAGTCCCAGTAATGGAGCCAGTTTTGATGTACACAGCCCTGTCTTCACATGGAGGGATGGCCCTCCCTGCTGGGTGACCCTGCTCTCCTGAGCCTGGCATGCACACAGCATTGTTGGCAGGAACAGCAAGGATCAGCATGGATGAAGGCCTCCATGCAAGGTCTCTTTTTGGCTGTACTTCTGGTTACTGGCTTTCTTGCAGATGGTTGCTGGCTTCTGTTAGTACTAAGATTTTCCTTCCAGAAGAAATGTATGTAAGTTTCTGAAAGTCTGAGCTTAGTATAGGCCACGCTTTCTGAAGTCAAGACCAGGAAGGTTTCCAGAATGGGAGATTGCCACTCATTTTGGCTGAGTGGTGGCATTGTGGATATGACTTTCAGGACCTCTACCTGGACCCTTACACACTTTCCACCAGCCTCTTTCTGGCCTGAGCCCGGCTGCACCTCAAACATGATTCCTCCCAGATGTGCCTAACGGCCTCCTGATGGTGCACCTGCCCTAGGGCCCTTGGGACTGGGACTGAGGACTCCCCTAGGTGTCGTACCATCCAGAAACCTGAGGGGTAGAAAACAGCTTCCACCAAGAGACACTTCCTTCTAAGAACCGTCCTGCATACAGCCATTTGGACCCATCCCCTCTCCAACCTGGGACCCATCTCTGTCCTGCTGCTGCTGTACCCACTGACCCCTTCTTCTGAGGAGCTACACCATTCCACAGGCTGCAACGCCTCCTGCAGCTAGACTCGGGTCTGCACAGTTGCCTGTGTGGCTCTCCCAGTCTCAGACCCTGAGACTTTCAGTCCCTACTGCCTTGGGACCTGCTGGAAGCCTGGAGCACCCAGTCCTCCATTTGTGCCACCTCTGGGTCAGCTTCCTTGTGTCCCTTGGGAGGCCTGTGACTGGACATAACTGCCACTTCTGACCAGCTAACCTACAGTTATGCTTCAGTGACTGCCAGATCCTCCTCTCAGTGCGTGGCTGTCTCTTATTTTAATCTTCACATTTTCTGCTGGAGAAACTGAGGCACAGAAATGTTAGCCACCTTTCTTAGGTCACACAACTACTAGGTTAGAAGGCAGAGTTAGTGCCATCGCCATTCTATTCCCTGCCCATTGCTCTGTAAGTGAGTGTTTTGTTGTAGGGTAGATGGTGATGAGCCAGCCTCAGCCCCTGCCCTGGAGGAACTGTGGCAAGTGGATGAGTATCTTGGCCTGGAGTTGTCAGTAGATACAGAGGCCTGGTAGATCACGTGTGACTTTGACTTGGAGAATGTGGGCTGGAGTGCAGAGGGCAGCTCTGTTGGAGACCTGAGCAGCTCTCTGGGGCAGTCCAATGCATGACCAGAAAGCCTGCCCAGCTTGGAGTGGGGCAGATGTCCTCATGGACCAGAAGTGACCAAAGGAATCTGTCCTCTTCCCACAGCATAGAAGGGTCACTTGTTGAGTATTTTCATCCACACATGCATTTCAAAGGCCAACAGTGGAGAGGGGCGGGGGTGTGAAAATCCCTGGGCATGGGGAAGCTGCTTCCCAGTCCTTTCCTACATCTGTCTCTGTTGGTACGGGAGGGGAGTGTTCTCTCCTTTGCTCCACACTCTGCATCTAATGCAGAACACAGTGGCCAAATGGTCCTGGCTCAGCCCATAGAGGTCAAGGGCCACTTGCTACCGTGGGTTAACACTTTCCTACAGAAGGATGGGGTGGACGGGGCAGAGGCTATACATTTGTCATCTCCATGCGGTCCCCAGTGGGAGGGCACTCATCGTCACAGCCCAAGTTTGCCATGGGAAAGAGGATCAGCAGAGCAGGGTAGTGAAGACAAGATGGCCCAGCCAGGGAGGAGAGGTCTGGGAGAAGATTCCAGATGTGCACAGCTCATGCAAAATTGGGCTGGACCCTACCAAGTCTTCATACTCTCACTTTCCCTCTCAGCCTCAGTGCCCACAGAGACATGAGACAGTAGGGATGCAGGTCCTACAGAAAATGCAAACACTACTGACGCCTTCCTCCTCTCTCTATGCTGGCTATCCGCATAGGCAATGGATGACTACAGTGTGATTGGCCGCTCTCTGTTCAAGAAGGAGACCAATATCCAACTCTTTGTGGGGCTCAAGGTGCACCTGTCCACGGGGGAGTTGGGGGTTATCGACAGCGCTTTTGGCCAGAGCGGCAAGTTCAAGGTCCATATCCCTGGTAAGTGCACTGTCTTCTCCATCTCTGGGGCACAAAGGATGGTGCCAGGACATGCTGCTTGGCCCAGGTCACAGATCCTGTCTTTCCAGCATACATCCTGGGAGTCTGGATGTGAGGTCAGGATCTGGCCTGGGCAGAGTCAAGGTCAGAGTCTAAGCTCCCACTCCATCTTTTGGGGGTGACCGTGGGTACAGCCTAGCTCCTCTGTGAGAGAGGATAAAGTGATAACCACACAGGGCAGCATAGATACAGGACAAAGACCACACTTGAAGTTTAGCTAGCCTTAGGTGCTAATGGGCCAAGGAGGCAGAACTTTGAGTTTCTCTCTGAACTGGTCCCTGGGCACTTGGGCACTGATTTCATTTGCATTTTATAGAGATCTAGGAGAGACAGACAGTGAATACCCCCACATGTGTTTGTGTATATGTGCATGTGCATGCTTGCACAGAAATGGGGTATGGGAGGGACCAAGGGAACATTCACATCCATGCACTGTGATCTGTGATCTTTTAATCCCCAACATTGTCTTACAAAAAGTTTCCAACACAGCCAAGTTAAAGCATTTCCCCATGAATCCCTGTCAGTCTCCTTTCCGTGTTACCAGAGCCATTCCTATCCTCCAGCCTAAGCTCCAGGCTGGAGGTGAAAGCAAGGGGCAACCAACAAGGGGGCTCCATCAGCATAGCAGTGTGGTATCTATGGGGAAATCTATCTAAAGACAAGGCAGGGTGCCAGCCCCAGCCAGGAAGTGGAGCTCCTTAGCTCCTCTGCTGAAATGAGGGGGCTGTAACCTCCCCAGAGCCTTCTCCAAGCCCTGAGGCCACAGATGACACCACCCTCTCCAAGGGAGGCCACAGCTTCCAGGGCCCTGCTTCTCCATGGCACTGGACTGACTCTGTTTAACTGCATCCCTAGGCCTCTGCCAAGCTGGATCTGAGCCACAGAGGCAATGCACTCAGCTGTGAGATCCTCCATCTTTCAAACCCTGTCCACCCACCCATCATCCCTCGGCTTCTGCCCCCTCCAACCATCCCAGAATCCTGTGGGTTTTTTCTTCTTGGGTGTGTGTTGTCCCCAGAGCCTGGGCCTTTCTCTGGGCTCAGGGAATGTTCAGGGGATTAGCTGGGTGGCCTAACTTCCAGATCATGCTCCCAGGATGGGGCGCCCTTCTGCAAAGGAGGGCCTGTGGGATGCCTCAGCAGGGCTAGGCACCCAGAGGGGCAGTGCCCAATGGGCAGGCAGCCCAGCATGCTTACTCTTCCCCAAAGCAGTGTCCCAGGCAAGGGGAGGAAACCCCTCTGAGCCCTTCTGTGGGGTCTAGAGCCGTTCTGGTCTCCGCTTAACTCCCCTCCCTCTAGCCAGGACACACTGAGGTCTGGCTGTTTCTGGAGGAGGCAGTGTGGGCGTTCTCCCAGGCTGGATGGGTGGAGGGAAAAGGGATGTAGCAGCGTGGTGCACAGGAGTTCACATTCCTCTGCAGGTCAGCTGCCTTCTTAGTTGTCTGCTTCCTGTTTGTGGTGCTCTTGTTAAACATCACTGGTCAGATTCCTTCATCTACCCTCCTCCTTCCATCCCTCCCTGGCCCTCCTCCTGGTGCCTCCCTTTAACCTTTTTGAGAAGCCTTCATTGTGAAAGCATCTTTAGTAAGCCAGAGTCACCCCGTGCCAGGGTAGGAAAGAGGCTGTGGTGGGCTTTAGGCCGATGGGGAAGCTGAGTCCCATGCTTGGAGGTTCTTCAGCAAGGAGAACAGACGGGGCCAAGCCTGCACCCTGCAGAGCAAGCTAGGCTGGGCCAGATAGGCAGCATCCTCGGGGTGCCCTTGTAGCAGTCCCTGCCTGGGATTGCAGGTCAGATACCCCCAGGGCCAAGCAGGGGTTGCAGAGCCAGGTGACAGGCAGCGCTTTGACTCACTGTGTGGGGATGTGGACCCTGGGTCCCTTCTGTCTCACCCCATGCTTAAAAATAAACACTGTCTCAATGAAGCAGAGCCCACACTGGGGCAGCTAGCAATCAGAGGCTGGAGGAAGGACTGAGAAGCCTACGCTTCCAGAACTGCTTCCCGCAGAGTTCTTGGGCCCCCACAGTGGCTTTGCTGGTGAAAAGGTGGCCAGAAGAAGGTGCTGGGCACTGATGAGGCTTCTGCCTGTGTGGCTGTGTCACTACATCCCGAGAACCCTGAGATAGCGCCACAGGTCCCAACCGCCTCTGATCCCCACGTGGCAGGGGACAAGAGGCTCCTCATGGGGAAGAGCTGGAGAAGAGCTGAGTGACAGGTGGAGGGGACTAATTCCTGACACCTTCCAGCTCTGAGTTGCTTACCTTGGAAGAGGGAGAGACAGATATGCATGCTACTTTCTGCTCTGAAACCTTGAAGCATGTGTCAGCTCCAACAGCCAAGTGCACAGTGGGCACTGTTCTCCATCAGCCACTCCAGAGAAGCTCCCTCAGCACTGCTCCAGCACAGGGGGCACGGAGCCCAAGCCTGGCACAGAAAGCCATGGGCCCTGCATCTTTCTGCTCACATTCTCTCCAGCAAGCCAAGGCACAGAGCTTCAAGCTCTTGCTGGATTGAGGCCAGGGCCACAGTGCCTGCCCAGGACCACTGCAGTGCCCATCCTGCTTATGGATGCTGACCTCATGCCAAGAGCCCAGTGCTTCCTTGTGAGTCAGGAGCTTGGTCTTATGAGATCACTAGTGGTTGTGGATCCCGCTGGTTTTCACTTCACGTAATCAGCTTTTGGGGATCTTTAATAAGCTTTTAAATTATCAGTCACAACTTCATGGACTCTAGGCAGATGAGACACAAATGAAAGAAAATTATAGAATCATATCCATAGGTGGGACCCATAGGCACCTTGGTTTACTCCTTGGTGGGTTCTGAGGAGTCTAGAAAGCCTCTGAAGGTTACTGCCATCCACCCCTGCATTGTCCTCACGGCCCTCAGCACCAGGTCATCCCTTACAGGGCAGGAGCCGGGGCTCAGGGTGCATGGCACAGCCTGCCTGGTAAGTGTCAGAGATAGGATTCGAACCCAGAGCATTTATTCTTGACCACTTTACCAGATGCCCTCTGTGCAAAAACTAGACAGGCAGCATTGCCCCCAAGTCCTGGCCACCACTGCAGCCAGCACTGCTGCCACCATCACCACTTTGCCCACCTCTCCATGGCCACATGTGACACTGTCCTTTTCTGCAGGAGGAGGGTTGGAGACTCCTTGTTCACAGTGGCACAGTCAGTGGTATCCATGTCCTAATCTTCCCCTCGTCCTTAGGGAGGCTGCTGTGGACGCAGAGCCCCTCTCTTGGGGCTGCTCCCACCCTGCCAGCTGGCTTTTCCCTGTGAGCTTCCCGCTCTTCCCCAGGACTCAGGTTCCAGCAAGCTCCTGTACCATGTGTGGAGATAGCAGGCATGCTCTGTCACCTGTGTCTCAGGACAACTGGCATTCTTTGCCCCTCCACTGGGACTTTGGTACTGCTGATAGAGGCCCTGCCCTGTCATAGTTCCTGCTGGATACTGGGGTAGAATTGGAGGTGATGTGGAGCCTGTGTTGGCCACCCACAGGCAGCATTCTCTGTGCCTCTTTCCAGCTTGGGAGGGCAGGGAACCAGGCCAGGGATACAGGCTCTTGATTGTCCAGATCAGAGTCAGGAGGACTGTGGTACTTGGAACTGCCTGCTGGTCCCCTCCTTACCCATTAGACCTGGCATCACTGGCCATTTTCCTCTTGCCAGCCTTCCTGTATCACATACCTATTCTTCCATGTATAAGCCTTTGTCCTGATGTCAGGCACAATTGCAGCTTTTGGGTGCCCAGATCCGTGGGTTCACTGTGAATTGTGTGTCCACAAGGCTATGTGCACCCAGCCCTCAGAGCCCCTGCTATCTTGTGGCTCAGCCTGGGGTCCCATAGCAGGCACCTGTCTGCTCATGGTCTTCTGTGTGTGCTTGTGTCCTTGTCTGTTCTAACAAGGACACCAGTCACCTACAGGATTAGGACCCACCCTAATAGCCTTATGTTAACTTCCCCTCTTTCAATATAACAGCTGCATTTTGAGGTCCTGGTCCTCTGCCTGTGAAGGTGGGGATACATTCAGTTTGTCACAGTGAGAAGGGTAACATTATGCAGATGGTCTCCTGCGTATTTGTGAGCCACATTCATGAACCACCTATGTGCTATGTGCCATGGTACAATGAGGTGTATTGCAGAGCTCCTGGATAAGACTGACATCAAAGTGGCTTGGGAAGGGGATGCACTGTTCTGGGCTCTGAGGACATGTGGAGCCTCTGTGTTCCTAGAACATGTCTGGGTCAGCGCACACATAGCATAAAGGACATAGCAGTGCTGGGTGGGCCATTCCTGCTGCTCCTGTGTGTCACCTCAGCAGCCACTCATCTGCTGTCCCCTATTCCCACCCTGCACCCCCAGTGTGAGTTCTTGTGCCTGTGAGTTAGAGCCTCATCTCAGACTGTGACAGGATTCTACCTGTCTTTAGGCTAAGGACCACAAACTTAAGTTCCCACCCCACATTACAAGGAAGGAGCCTGGGCTTAAAGACCAGTCATGAGAGGGACATCTCAGCTGCAGCTGGGCCTGTTGGCAGCCTTGCCTTGTCCTGGCTTTATCCGGCAGGTGGAAAAACCAGCTGTACGAGCCAGCTTCCCCACAGGCATCTGTGCATGGGGCTGGGGTTCTGCATTTGCCTGCTCAATGGTTCCTGCCACCATCAGCCAGGAGATCTGGGCCACCTGGACTGCATGGAGATGTTGCATGCCTGGGCCTGGGTCACAGCCTTTGTCTGAGATCAGCAACAGTGTTTTCTGTCTCCAGCCACAGCAGGCACAGTGTTAGCTGGCTGGCTACATTTGGTATAGATGGGCAGCCGCCACATACAAGGAATGGCATATTCTGTATTTTGTTTGAAGGAAGAGGAGTTTAAACAACTGCCTGTGTTAAAATTCCTCCCTGGCCGTGGCCACTGCACTGTGTGTCAGGCCACCTTC